TCCGGTTCACATAAGCGGGGCCTTGTTTGTAGCGCCCGAGGCGACCGATGGCTGATGACGTCACTCAGTGGAAATTTCCCAGCCGCCGGTCATTCACCCAGCACACGCAAACGGCAATGCCGCTTTTTCCTTAGTTACTCCCACATTTTTAAAGATTACGCAAAAAACGCTAAACACAGAAACATGAAATTTTAAGGGAATAAAGAAAAATGGTGTACAACATAACAGTCAGTTTGACAAATCACAGCTTCGAAAAATCTTCAAAGCGCACCACATCAACCACTTTCGCAAACGTTTTCGACTACTTCTTGGATGGGTACAAACAAAGTTGTCAATCTGCATACTACGAGATTGACCTCTTTTCTGATTGGCTGCCAAGTTTCATTCATATCCATTCTCGAGAAGCGGCGTGAGAGCGAGTTGAAGACAACAACCTTTGCGTTAGTGCGTCCCACGAAACACCCCGGGGGCCAAAAATCAGCAGAACAAAACGCGCTCGGTGGGCATTGCTAAAGTTAGTGCTTTTAGAGGGTTGAAAATGGCATTTGAGAGCCTGTTTGAAGAGATTGCCTGCAAACCATTACATTTATTTTTTCACCAACATTTAGTCTTGTTTGATTTCTTCACCAAGATCTACATAATATATTTCCATTGATGGCAATGTTTAAAAGCAGGTTCTCCTTCCATTGCTACTATAATTCAATTAATTTGTCATCGCACCACTGATAGAAGTAGAAGGCAAACCTGGGAATAATGAATAGATATGTACCTTCACAATACAGTTACCCGGCGTATACCCTAATTTTCCTTAAATTTCACACCTGAATGAATGTTGCATATCACAACCTCGGAACACCACTTCGAATTATTCTTGAGTTTCGTAGTTTTAGGCCGAGTTTTAGCATAAAGTTCTTTCGCTGCCCTTATCGCATTCCCGTGCCTTAGAATCTTCGTATTGATCATTTCTTTAGATCTAGATTCTAGACAAATTTGTAAAAAAGTTTCTTTCTGACAGTAATTTTCTGTCTAAGATCACAAGTCAATATACTTGATCAACGCGCAGTTTTTCCAGCCAAAGATTTCTTTATTCCCCAAGATTTTTCAAGACCAGACTTCTTTTTTCAAAGACTTTTCCGAGACTTTTCAAGACCAGACTTCTTTTTTTCAAGACAAGTAATGTGTCATTTCGGAAGAAAATTTTTGTTCTGGTGTGGTATTTTTTTATATTCAGAATACGTAAAGTCAAAGCCTTCTAAACTTCGAGGAAATACTTTTACTATAGATCTAGATCTAAATAGTTTAAAATTAGTTTTTTTCCAGACTTTTTCAAAAATTTTGCCAATTTCCCAAAATTCCAAGAGTTTTCCTGTTTTCCAAGACCAGTACGAATCCACCCATTGGTAAAATAAGTCACTTTAAGAAACGTCAAAATACAAAACAGACCTCTGGTTCAGCGTCATCTGGCACATTCAACTTCCATTCCAGCCCGCTGATAGTATTTCTCAAGGTAAAGTTCACAGCACTTTCTGCAGAGAGCAGGGACTGGGCGCTCGTGGTAGCGTCATCAGCATTTTTCAGGAGGTGCTCCAGCTTCACTTTCTCCGTAGACAGTAAGTGGAGTTTTATTGTTAACGCCGCTACTTGTTCCTGGGGAGGGAAAAGGAGACATAACCCTATCAGTACGTCTTTGGGTCATTTTGTACCCTCGGGTTAGTATTCTTCACATTTTAGAATACTTCCAGTGCGAAGATCTCTGTGAAACTTTCAGTATTTCTCAAAAAATCGTTTTGATTTTGACAGACTGTTATGCAAAGCGTACGGATCGGATAAAAGAGTAAATTTCCTCTTTGGAAAGTGGTGGCACAGATTTCCCCACGTCGTATGGATACGATAGTAAAACACGATGTACGATAGGGTTTCAGTGTACTTGGATTTAACACCACTTTCAACACTATTAGTTAGGTTATTTAGAGACAGGACCTCCAAATTTAACACCCAAGTCCGATAGGATCCAGCCGCAAGAGCTGAGAGCTTTGAAAACTCCACAAAATGACCAGGGTTCAAGAACACTCGTTCTGAGATTGGAACCAGGTTCATATGGTCTGTGGTCCAGCATGATACCAACTGCCTTGATATGAGAGGGAGGGATGGGAGGAAAGAGGCCAGGAGAAAGCGGGGGGGGGGGGATGAGAGATTGGGAACAAGAGGAAGGAGTTAGGAGGGGAAGGAGAGAGAAGGGAGGAAAAAAGGATTTAGGAGCAGGTTTGGAGGGAGGTTTGGAAGTATGGGGTTGATGAGGGGGTATGAGGGAGGCAAGAGGGGAGAAGGGGTTTAGGAGGGAGGGAGCGTTTCAGAGGGTGGCGTTTAGGGTATAGGAGAGAAGGGGGAGGTGGGAGGAAGGAAAGGGGGGCGGAGGTGAGTTTATAATTCTGCATTGGTTCTTTACATTCAACTGAGTATACAGAGTAAAGAGGGAAGAAGTAGAAGCTTAAGTTTTGAGCCAACAGCGGCATATCCACGCAATAATGGTTATTTAACACACAGGGAAAAAGCATGGATGGAGAGAGAG